CCTTCCTTCCCTTCCTTCCCTTCCTTCCCTTCCTTCCTTTCTTTCTTTTTAAACATGACCAGTAAGGGGATCTTAACCCTTGACTTGGTGTTGTCAGCACCACGCTCTCCCAAGTGAGCAACTGGCCATCCCTATATGGGATCCGAACCAGTGGCCTTGGTGTTATCAGCACCGCACTCTCCTGAGTGAGCCACGGGCCGGCCACAGAATTTGCTTTCTAACAAGCCCCTGGGTGAGGCTGCTGGTCCCAGGACCACACTTTGAGAACCACTGTCCCAGGCCCTGAAGGGGGCACACATTCGATGTGTTTGAAGAAGGGAACACGTGAGTGGTGAGTAAGCACATGAATGAGACTCTGGCCTCACTGAGACATGGGATGGGGCAGCCACCCACAGTGAGGACTCAGGTCTGGTGAGAGGGTGCCTTCCCTATGGGGCGGCCCCTCCGCATCCCCAGCCCCAGCCCCTGCCCTTCTCTCCAGCTACTTCCTGACACTCGGCTCAGAGGCTCCTCCACAGGCCCCTCACGTTCTTTCCAGGAATGCCAGGTTCACCCTGGGGGAGATGATGGGGTGCAAGAGAGAGGCCAGAGCCATAGGAGTGTGGCCTGGACACCAGCCTCTTGTTCTTTTGGCAGAAGTGGCTCCGATAACTCATGCCCAGGGCCAGCCCAGAGACCCTCCAGTCAGTCCCTCAGAGGGGTGCACGTGGGGCTGACGGTCTTGGATTCTGCTCCTGAGCTGTTCACGCCAAGCTCAATGACCCTGGGCAAGTTACTGCTCTTGAACGTGGGGGGTGACTCCCTAGGCTCAGAGGGGTGATGTGAGGACCAGAGAGAACGCACTGAGGGCCCTCAGCTGGCGGCCGGCACTCGCTAAGCGGAGCTCTCTTCCCAGCCTTGTCCTGTGCAGCCCAGGAGGGCCACAGCCTTCCTTCCCATGCCCCAGGCACTGCCCAAGGAGGGAAGAAAACAGAGAGCTGGCATCTGGAGAGCACTTTAAAAGCTAACGTGGCCGAAAACTTATGTCCACACAAAAACCTACACATGGACGTCAATAGCAGCTTTTTTCATAATTGCAAAAACTTGGAAGCAACCAAGAAATCCTTCAACGGGTGAATGAGTATATAGGCTGTGGTACATCAGCACTAAAAATAAATGAGCTATCAAGCCATGGAAATGCGGAGCAACCTAAATGCCTGTCACTAAGCGAAAGAAGCCAATCTGAAAAGGCTACATAGTATATGATTCCAAACACATGACATTCTGGAAAAGGTAAAACTATGGAGACAGTAAAAAGATCAGTGGCTGCCAGTGGCAAGGGAAGGGTGAATAGGCGGAGCACAGTTAGTTTCTAGGGCAGTGAGGGCCGGCCCGTGCTTACTATCCCTAACACCAAGGCCACGGGTTCGGATCCCATATAGGGATGGCCGGTTCGCTCACTGGCTGAGCGTGGTGCTGACAACACCAAGCCAAGGGTTGAGATCCCCTTACCAGTCATCTTTAAAAAAGAAAAAAATCCTAGGGCAGTGAAATGACTCTGTATGATACTATAAAGGCGGGTACGTGTTGATGTGTACATTTGTCCAAGGCGGCAGCATGTACCACACGAGGAGTGAACCTAACGTACACTACGGACTGTGGGTTGGTTATAATGATATGTCAATGTAGCTTCGTGGATTGTAACAAACGTGGCACTCTGGTAGGGAGTGTTGGTAGTGGGGAAGCCTACGCATGTGTGGGGGCAGGGGACAAATGGGAACTCTGCACTTTTTGATCAATTTTGTTGTGAACCTAAAAATGCTCTAAAAATAAAGTCTATTAAAACTCAAAAAGCTAACATGTTTTATTATTCAACCCTTACAACAACTCAGTATGAAGAAGGCAGGAAAGGTTTATCATGCCCCCATTTAACAGATGAGTAAACTGAGGCCTACGGGGATGCAGTAACTTGCCCATGGTCATGGAATTTGGTCTCCTAACCCTGCTGCCTTAGCTTCAGTGGGGGCGGGGTGGGGGTGGAGAGGGAGCCTGTCCCCAGGCCTGGGGAGGGTGGGGGGAGTGAGAACTCACCTTGGGCCCTGGAGGTCCCCGTGGGCCCTGGAACAAGGGAAGAGCAGGTATTAAACATCATACTGGAGGCTGCTCCTGGGTCTGTCTTCCTTATCATGCTCGCTTTATAAAGGGTGACATCAAATCCCATAGAAGCAGGCTGTCGCTAGAACCGGGGTTGTGCTGCCCAGTTCCAGGCCTGTCTCCTTGTGCCTTGCACGGCTTTTGCACTGGGGCTCAAATGGTGACAAGTGGCCGGCAGCCTCCCACACAGGAATGTGGGGCTATTAGAATTCTGCCTGGGCTGGAAGACTTGCCCGTCCATTTCCCTACCGCTGGTGGGGGAGCAGGAGCACAGGGTGCAGGCTCGCGCACACTCATGCGTGCTCTCATGCCAATGCAATCCTGGTGTCCTCGGTGTGGGTAGGAAAGGGGCTTCTGGGTTTCTGAAATGCCCTGGATACTGACCATCTCGCCGTCTTTTCCAGGCTCTCCTTTGGGACCCTGAAGAGGCACGAAAGCATAGCAATGAGGGATGCAGAGATGTCACATTTAACTGAGCCCAAATTTCATGCCAGACCCTGGGCTGGGGCACAAAACCTAAAAAGGGCGTATCATTGTCCCCATTTCACAGATGAGAAAGTTGAAGCTCAGGGAGTTATGTGCCCAATATGACAAATGACCCAATTGAGTAGCTGCTCTGAGAGGGGACTCCAGTGGCAGTTTGGTGGAGATGTGGGCTCTGCATTGGAGGAGAAGGACAGGTAGGAGTCCCTGGGTTAGGGAAAGAGATACTAGAATGAGTTCTGGCCTCCATGGTTTGGTTTAGGAATTTGGAAGGAAAACCAAGGACAGCTAGTTAGCACCGGGGTGGGAAGAGAGAGAGGAATAGGAGTTGGTAAAGATCTGCAGAGAAAGCACCCACATATGGGTCTCAGGATGTGGGTTGGGGTCCAAATTGGGAATGAGATTCAACTAAGGTCAGGGTTAGGGTCTATGGGTCTATTTGGGGTTAGAGTATTGGGGTGAGGTGGGTTTGGAGTCAGGGTCAGAGTCTATAGGCGTCAGGGTTAGGGTCTGGATAATAGTCTGAATTGGGGGCGTGGATCAGGATTGGGAATGAGTTTGGGGTCAAGGTCTTGAGTGGGGTTAGGGATCTGATTAGTGAGGTTTAAAGCTTGGTTGAGGTAAGGGTCTGGGTTGGGGTTAGCGTAAGGGTTGGTTTGGGTCTAGGGTCAGGGACAAGATCTGATTGGGGATGGGGCTGGATCTGTGTTGGAGTTAAGGTTAGGCCAAGGTTCATTGTCTGGACTGGGGTTAAGGTTGGTGTTGGGTCTGCATTAGGGAAAGGGCTGGGGCTGGGCTGGCTCTGGGCTCAGGGTTTGGGGTTTTGGTCGATACAGGACCAGGTCCTGGGTGGTCTAACTCCATGTCCACTCTTACCGCTGGGCCTTGAGCTCCCCTGGGGCCATCTTTTCCAGTGTCGCCAGGAGGGCCCCGGGCCCCCGGGGGTCCAGGGGGCCCTGGAGGCCCAGCAGCTCCATCTTGCCCTTGGTCTCCCTGAAAGAGATGGGTCTTGGCATGACTCTGAGGGTGAGAGGAAGGGCTTCCAGCCTCCAGAGAGAGTCTCCTTCCGAAGGGCAGCCCGTGCCTTCTCCTTCCCCCACCCATGGGGTAGGCTCAGAGGGAAGGGCTTTACTACTGGGCCTCTTGTCAGTTCTTGGAGAGGCCCACCAGAACCATTTACAGCCCAAGAAAATGTGCCACCTCTCCAGCACCTGAAGCCCAGATATGCTGTTGAGGTGAGAGAAGATTCATGCCGATGAGGAAGGAAGGACATGTGCCTGACCAGCCCCTTCTTTCCAGAAAGGGGACTGAGTGTCTCCGGAAAGGCCTTCCTTGTTGGTCAACTCCTGCTTCATTAAAAGTGAAGGAGGTGTACTCTTGGGCATTGGTGCCAGAGAAACAAAAACTTACGTTCACACAAAAACCTGTACACAAATGTTCATAGCTGTTTTACTAGTAATAGCCCCAAACTGGAAACAATCCAAATGTCCTCCCCAGGTGAGTGGTAAATCAGCTGCGGTACATCCACATCATGGAACACTACTCAATAAATAAAAGAGGAATGAACTGCTGGCACATGCAACAGCTTGGATGCACCTCAAGGGAATTATGCTGAGTGAAAAACCAGCCTCAAAAGGTTAATACTGTATGATTACAACTACATAACATTCTTGAAGTGGCAAAAGTATAGAGATGGAGAATAGACTAATGGTTGCCAGGTGTTAGGGATAGGGGGGTGGAGGGGATTGTAGCTATATATATGAGGGATCTTTCATGCAGTGGTTACATGAGCCTACAAGTGTGATGAAACTGCAAAGAACTAAACACACGCACAGATGAGTGTGCGTAAAGTGGGGGAAGTCTGAGTAAGATTGGTGGTTTGTATCAATGTCAATTTCCTGGTTGGAAATTGTACTACAGTGATGTAAGATATCACCACCGAGGGAAACCGGATGAAGGGTACACAGGGTACTATTTATTACAATTGCATGTGAATCCACAATTATCTCAAAATAAAAAGTTAAAAGGGCCAGCCCGTGGCTCACTTGGGAGAGTGTGGTGCTGATAACACCAAGGGTACCGGTTCAGATCCCTACATAGGAATGGCCAGTTGGCTCACTAGGGAGAGCGTGGTGCTGACGACACCAAATCAAGGGTTAAGATTCCTTTACCGGTCATCTTTAAAAAAAAAAAGTTAAAAAAGAAAGGTGATGAAGGGCAACACAGTCTCTCTCATGCAGAACCCAAGCCCCAACTTTTGAACTCAATGTTAGTAATGGGTTTGACCTCAGGCAGCCAGAGCCCTCACCTCATGGCCCAACCTGCAAGAAGAGAAGACCACAGGGTGACTGGCACCATCCTGCTGCCCCAGCAGGGCCCGCCCAGCACTGGCACAGGGCACAGTAATTGCCATGCCTGGGTCATGGTGCCAGTAGCTCTCAACTTTCTTGTAACCAAGAAAGGAAGAAGCCTTCTGTGTCCTCATCCCTGAGCAAGTGACAGCTTCCTGGAGGCTATCTTATTCAGTCCTCGTGATGAGCTGGCCAGAGCACTGTTATTGACCCATTTTACAGATAAAGTGGTTGGGGTCAGAGAGGGTAATCATCTACCCAGGGTTACAGAGCTAGGCAAGGCCGAGCCTCCTCTGACCATCAAGGCAAGTGGTCTCTTTTAGACACTGTTTTTCATCCATGGACTCCTCATGATATGTAAAAGCTCACCTCTCAAGTAAATTGCATTTAACACATAATGCACTTGTTTTACCAATTAAAAAATTAATGAATGCTCTCAATGTCCGCCACTTAGATCTTCTGATTAGTCTGGCCTGGCCATGGTCCTGATCAAAAGGTTATAACTCCAGCCAAAAGGAAAGAAAACTAACAGTTTGGTTAGGTCACCCAGTTGCGGGTGGTGGTGGCGGCGGGTAATTTCTATTTCATTTTGGGCTGAATCAGTTACAATTTGCAGACTCCCTCCCCTTCTTTCCTGCTGCTCCTTTTATAGCTCAGGGCCTCAGGTTGGGAACCACTGGCCTGGACTCTCCTTATTAAGGTGGAACACGGATTTAGACACTTGAGCAGGTCCTACGAGAGGTACTTGGGTTCTTCCCTGGCCAGGCTGCCCCCTTCTCCCTCAGGGATTGGATGGCTGAGGTCGAACCCTAGAAACATGGGGTGAGCTGCGGGGAGCACGGCAAACTAGCAGGCCCAAGCCCCCCACTCAGCCGTCTACCTTGAGGATGCGGAGATTGTATGCGTGATGGTCTCTACTTATGAAGCCCGGATTGAGCCACGGGAAAACCATCTAGTCAGCAAACAGGTTGTGTGGTCAGAAAGGCAGGAGGGGGATTTCAAAAACCACAAACTATTCCTGGAGGCCAGTCCACCTAACCCAGCCCAGAGGTAGGCAGTTTGGTGACTGGCGTGCAGATTGCCTTCCCCAAAGATGGCCTCTATGCTGGCTCCGTGTGACCTTGCCACTCCCCATCAACAGCTGGGCTCTAGTTCCCTACGCCCTTTGACTCTGGTTAGACCCTGTGACTGAATTGACCAATAGAATGCCAGAGGAATGATGCCATGTCCATTGTAGGTCTAGCTCTTAACAGGCCTGGCAGCTCCCACTTCCTGCCTTTTGGAATGGTGCTTTTGGGAAGTCCCTCTAAGGAGACCAGCTGCCATGCTGGAAGACACCTAAGCCACATGGAGAGCCACATGTGGGCACTCCCCAGGTGAGCCACCAGCCATAGCCACATCAACTGTGGCTATGCAGGGAGCCATCACCTCGGACTCCAGGCCCAGCTGCCTCTGCCTGCAACACAAGAGACCTCAGCCAACCCAGGGGACCATGAGATAGAATGATGAATTGTAGTTTTAAGCTGCTAAACTTTGAGGACGGAAGCGGAAGTGGTTTCACAGATGACTGCAACGTGGGGTCAATAGGGAGGCCATCCACGAGCGGGTGAGGGGCTTGGGAGGAGATCTGCTCTTCTGTGACCTCCTGAGCTAGGGGAGTTCTAGTCTGTTGAGGAGTGGGCATGCCGTCTGGAAGATCAGCTTCTATGACTGCAACGTGGGGTCAATAGGGAGGCCATCCACGAGCGGGTGAGGGGCTTGGGAGGAGGTCTGCTCTTCTGTGACCTCCTGAGCTAGGGGAGTTCTAGTCTGTTGAGGAGTGGGCATGCCGTCTGGAAGATCAGCTTCCGTACATCTACCAGAAAGCAAGCAAAAGGATTTTTCTCAGCAGACACAAAACTCAACACGAGCGCCCTTTCTTGGACTTCAGAGCAATCTCACCAGCTGTGGCCCTGCCCCTGCCCTCCCATCACAGGCTCGGCACAGAACAGCTCTGTCTGTGGGGCTTAGCCTGGCCAGCCACTTGCCTGCTCCCACCTCGTGCTCACAGCCATGAACTTGCAGAGCTGGGGCCCAGCCCAGCCCAACCACAAGGCTCCAGCCTTTCACACGGTGCCCCCCCCATTTCCTTCTCATTCCCCTGTATGGAGCACCCTCCTCTGGGCCCAAGCGGCTCCCGCATTCACCATCCCATTCCCACAGGCTTGCCATGGGTGACTGGCCCACTGGCTACAAGTTCCGCCCCACAACCTTCTTACAAACACCCGGGCATATGCCACTGTCCCGCCTTTCTCTGGGCACTGATGCGGTCAGGGCTCCCTCTGCTTCCTACCTGGGCCATGCTGGAACTGCAAGTCACTTGTCTAGGGCTACTGAAGGGACCCTCTGCTGACACCTGCTTCAGGGCCCACACCTGAGGTCTCCACTCTGCTTCAGTCTCTATTGAGGAGACCCTAGGCTCCGCATGTGGCACTTCTGAGTTCCTGGGCCCAAGGGACACTGAGGGGCAGGGGTGGGCTTGGAGGAGACTCTGGGCTACCGTTCCTACACTTGCTCCTGGGTGCTGACTTCTACAATTGCAGTGAATCTTCACAACAACCACGTGGGGTGGGGCTGTCACCCCTATTCACAGTTGAAGAACCTCAGTCTCAGAGAGGAAAGTGACTTTTTCAAGGTCACTTGGCTGGTAAGTGGTAGAGTCAAGCTTTGGGGTCGGGTCTGCTGAGTCCAGAGACTTCCCTCCTTCTGGAGTGCTAGCTGCCCTCAGGAAGGTCAGTGTCCGGTCTGGGGCAAGTGCCAGCCCATCGTCCAGTCATCCGCAGTGATAAACATGGGGACTGGGACATCTGCCAGAGACTCTCCATCTGTGCAGGGGGTGGCAACCTCAGCAGGACCAAGGCCCCTGGGGGCTTCCACGTTGTGGCCGTGGGTGGGGTGAGGGGCTTCCTCACTCGCCTTTCTGTGATAAGCTACAGGGAGCTGGGCCCCAGAAGAAATGCTAGATATGCCTTATCATAATATAAAACAAACCATGTGGGTGGGTGAGGGAGGTCATGCTCAGTCCTTACCCGGGGGCCAAAGTCTCCTGGGGCACCCTAGGAGCAAGAAACAGGGAGATACATCACCATGCTCTCATTTCTTTGCACTTCCAACGGAGCATTTACTCTGTGCTCAGTGCTGCACATGCATGGTCTGACAATTCTGACAAAAATAACAGGCAGGCTCTATTTTTATCTCCATTTTCAGTGAGGAAACAGAGGCACAGAGAAGCCGAACAACCTGCCTAAGGTCATACATCTAGCAGATCCAGGGCTTGAAACCAGATGTTCCCTTATCTATGGCCAGTCTCCAGCCAGCTGTTCGAGGCTCCAGACGTAGTGGAGCAGAGACAGCTCCTCTCTTTGTGTCCTCTCCAAGGGATGATGATGATTAATTGCTGTTTTTTTTTTCCTTTTTGTCTTTTTTCGTGACCGGCAACGGATCGCAACCCTCAGTGTCGCGCCCGTACCGG